CATCTTCTGATACTTTTATCTTTTTCCTCATATGCACTCCAATTCATTTTTTTCTTCGTTCTCGCTTTTTTTCTACATCTAATTAGTATAATAATTTGGTTTATCCTTCTTCTTTCTTGGATAATGTAATTATTATAGTACCACTTACCGATTTTTAATAATGTAATAAGCCAAGCAAATCAGTATAAATAATGGTTTTGAGATTGTTTTATTGACATCAAATGGTTGTATATAATGGTTAGAAGAAAACTTAAAATTCCTTCCTTCAACTCTTAACATACACATGCTTTTGTTTGAATGTGTATACTGTATAGCTTATTATGTAGCGCAAAAAAACGGTGCTACAAAAACCAAGGTTGATAATCAAAGGATTGATAAGGTGAAATTGAAAAACAAAACCAAAATAATCGGCACAACTTTAAGTAGGTGTTTTTACATTCAATAATTAATAATCATATATATGAAAGTTAAATAATCCTCTCCTTCTATGTGACACATGGCATTGTGTTTTATTTATAAAAAAAAATAATTTCACCCAAATCTCTTTCTCTTTCTCTTCGACGCTTAACTGTAAAGTCCATGGCTATGACTATCATCCTTCTACTTTCTCGTCAGTTTTTTCTTCCTACCATGTTCTAGCCTATTCAACTTCCGCTACAACCATGAATCTCTTATATGATTAACAAAAGCCTAGCGATGCAGTGATAGAGAAAGCAAAACAAGGCCATTGGTGAAATCGACTATTAACTAGCAAGGTAATTTGATCGAAGAAATCATTCGCTGTCTCAGCCCCGTGACTCTACTCGCCCCAAACTTCATTACATCTCCGCCGATGAGTGTCACTTCTTGAAGCTCTTCTTTTGATTGGCAATTCCAAATTAGGTTTACAACTAATCAGAGACTCGTATATAGTACAAAGATAGGTCAGCCTTGACTGCGTTTGATGGTGTTACCTGCAAGTTGGAAACTGAATCAACTCTCACCGTGAATCTTAGTATCTACGAGACTATGATGTTAAG